GTAAATTTATATAAAAATTTATGTATCGTATGTGTACAGGATATGTTTGGTATACATGTATATATAGATCGATGGATCGGATATATCTTATGCTTTCAACATAAATGAAATGTTGAGATCAATTTGCACAATTTGTCTGATGTTGAGACTTGAGACCAATCACAACTTCACAAGATGGAATTTCCTTGTGAACCAAAGTGTATTTTGGAGTACCCAAAAATTATACTAGTTTAACCGGTTAGAATCCTTAAAACCAATCTTAACTATAAAAAAACAACTTTATATATATAGATTCGGAGAAGAAGAACATCGGGGCTTTAATTCCATATTATTATCAAAGGAATCGTTGTTTATTGATATTGAGTGTAGAAGTTTCACGGATCTGTACAAGGTATCTCATGAAAATTATGTATACGTTTCTTTGGATAGATGAGTTTCATGAAAGTTTTCCATAAATTTAGGAAACCTTAGGAGAGAATTAAGGGTTATATGAATTTCCATGGAACATAATGATATAGTTTATAATTATGGAACGCAAAACATGAAATTGTATAAAGTTCCCATTGGTTGAGGGTCATTTTCCATTTTCTATTCTCATTTTAGTATATGATAATTCATTATGTGCAAAAATTAAACTTAATTAGAGGTAAGTGTGTGACATTTGAGTTTGACGTAATTTTTTTAGATTTATTATATTAGTTAGTTATTTTTTTTAGATGACGAGATAGCGTAAACACAATATTAGAGGATAAAGTATGTATCTGTGAAATATAAGCCGACATATAATACGCTATCTCCAAAGACTAAAAAAAAAAATCATTTAAAATTCCATAAAAACAAAACCGAACCTAAAACTCGAAACCTTAAAACAATACCTATTCATCTTTCTATCTTTTGGAGATCTTAGAAAATGAGTTTATAAACAAAAATTGATAAATTTAGATGACAAAGGAAAAAAATGATGAGATAGCAATTAGCAATTAGCAACCGGCAAGGATATTCCATGCGTAGATAATATCAAATATTCTAACACCCTTAATTTAACTGATGACGGTACCGGACTAAACCGAGCCTGCAAAAGGTAGGTTGAATTGAATATTGAAACCGAAGTGAACCGAAAAGAATATGTGGTTAATAAACCGGAGTTATTTTCTTTAAAAGGCTCGAAAATGAGAAAAACAAAAATCAACTCGGGAAGAAAGGAGATACATTGAACCTAGACGTAAAAGGAACTCGATGAAATTGTGTGTTGTAATCGTCCCTCATTCCCAATTTGTTCATGTCGTGATTCTCGTTGGCATTTTTCAATAATTGTGAAAGATAATATTCTTGATTTTATATTTTCATTTTCTGTGCCTTTTTCTTTTGTTAATTTACCCGTGATTTTGATATCTAAAAAAGAATCCGCCATTATTCAAATTATTTTATCTCCGATATCGAAGGTCGTATTTGACTATTCATCGAATTATAATTTCCTCTACAATAATAATGATTTTCAGTGTCCACTATTATAAATAATAATCGAACACCATTTAGTAAATGTATTTTTTTTTTTGTAATCACTCTTTGTGACCACGTTTGAGAAAAGTGTAAACAATAGGCTAGGCTAGTTTGTTTAAAGAAGGAACAAAC